ATAGATAGATAGATCTGTAGATAGATAGGTATGGGTATGGAGCATAACACACATATGTATAATTACTCTCTCCTCCCTCCCCTCCTCTCTCCCCCTTCCTCTCCCTTCTATCCTCCCTCCCCCTCTCCTCCTCCCACCCCTCCTCTCCCCCTTGCTATCACCTGTGCATGGCAGGTCTCTGCCCAAGAACAGCCGTTTTGCTGTCTACCAACCAGGTAAGCAGGTCTTGGAGGGCCCAAGCTCAAGGCTGGGGGAAGAAGGAGTAGCTCCCTCCTCTTTCACTATCCAACTTTATCAGCAGTGAAGCCGATACGGCACTTTGATTCCCACTTGTCTCACGTCCTGTCTCCATTTCTAAGCTCCAGAAGGAGAAGGGGTGAGTTCAGCACCTTCAGACCTCCCGCGCTCACAGTAAATGCAGCCAGTTAGCCACTGAAGGCACAGGAAGCAGGAGGCTGTTCAAAGGCCCGTTGAATCTTGCCCTGGAATGAATGACTGGATTTGGGAGCCATTGGATATAAATCTCTGGCCATTTCCTAGAAATCGCATCTTCTCTTTCCCCAGAGACAGCTGAAGAGGGTGCTCCATCCTCACAGGGTCGGGGAGCAGTCGAGGACCACACTGTACCCCGCAGGCTGCAAAGGAGGGGGCGCAGGCTCATGAGGTCTTACCAAACAGAACAAGGGGCAGGGCTTGCCAAATCTCCATCAGCCTGAAGACCATGAAGGGGGTGAAGATCCCACCCACGTCACACAGGGCGGAGCACACCATCACCCCAAGGTTCCTGAGGAAGCAGAGAATCCAGAGATCACATCCTGTGATTTGGTTTTCCAAGATCCCGTCTTTCTTATCCTAGAGCCAACGGAAGTGCCAGCTCCTGTGGCCGCCCGGACAGCGCGCAGCACACCTCGGGCCAACCGCGAGGACCAGGAGGAGCCTGTGGACCACCACGTCAGACTGAGAGGGGGTGGGTGTCAGACCAGGGTGGAAAGGGGGAGGGCATGCCCTGCCTGCCGGCCTCTTCTCAGTTCCACAGCAGACACCAGCTCTCAGGCGCGTCACCCGTGAAGAATCGATCGAGGCCTGATGAAGGTCACGAGCCCATGTGCTCCCTGCTCCGACCCTCAGTTCGACACCCTCCTGTCCAGGACCAAGACCTGTTGTCACTGGGAGGTGAAGACACATCTGTGGGTGACTAGGTCTAAAGGGTTTAGGCTCATGTCAGCCCTGGTGCCTGGGAGTGGTGCACATTGGTTAGGGGTGTGTGTGTGTGTGTGTGTCTGTGTGTGTGTGTGTCTGTGTGTGTGTGTGTGTCTGTGTGTGTGTGTCTGTGTGTGTGTGTGTCTGTGTGTGTGTGTCTGTGTGTCTGTGTGTGTGTGTCTGTGTGAGTGTCTGTGTGTGTCTGTGTGTGTGTGTGTCTGTGTGTGTGTGTCTGTGTGTGTGTCTGTGTGTGTTTGTGTGTCTGTGTGTCTGTGTGTGTGTGTGTCTGTGTCTGTGTGTTTGTGTGTCTGTGTGTGTTTGTGTGTCTGTGTGTGTGTCTGTGTGTGTGTGTCTGTGTGTGTTTGTGTGTCTGTGTGTGTGTCTGTGTGTCTGTGTGTGTGTCTGTGTGTGTGTCTGTGTGTGTGTTTGTGTGTCTGTGTGTCTGTGTGTTTGTGTGTCTGTGTGTGTGTGTGTGTCTGTGTCTGTGTGTGTGTCTGTGTGTGTGTGTGAACACATATTAACGTGTGTTAATATCAAAAACATTAACTTGTATAAGCACTAGGCCTTCTGAATTCTGCACGTTTTCATTGTATTCTGTAACTCTGTGTGCGTCTTGTCCTCCTGTATCTATTCTCCTTTGTGCTGCTGTCAAGCTGGCTTTCATTTATTAAATGCTCTAATTTTTTCATTTCTTTCCTCTCTGAGTGGCTTCAGTGTCTTCTGTTATCTTGCCATCTAATCTCCCAGGAATGTACACATTTGCTTTAAGCTCTTACTTTATAGAGATGACTGACTCATTATTATTTTGCATTTTATGATAGCAGATCTGTTTACAATTTTCATCTGCTTTGTGACAATATTCTTTTGGCCACACTCTGGGATAGGAGAGATTTTCTTTTTGATCAGGCTTGTATCTGAAACCTCTGAAACTGTGAGCCAAATAAACCTTTTCTCTTATTAAGTTGATTATCTCAGGTATTTTATTACAGTAACACAAAGCTGACTGATACAGCATTTTTGACAGATTATATTCTGACTCAATCCCCTAGGACTGGTGGCCATAACAATGGAATTATTTGTCCCAAAGTTTTTAGACTCTGGACTCAGAACTGCCAGTGTAGGTTTTCTGTTTAGTTTGTCTTCATCTCTGTCCTCAGTCCAAGCAACACTATACAAATGAGAGTCTCGGACATGGCCTTTTGATACAGGAACAGGCAGAAAAAAGAATGACGAACTCAGAGTCATCACTCAAGGACTCAGAGAACTGTGAAGGTGTAAGATGAGGTTGGGATCTGGAATTTTCTTAGAAGCCACTGATATGTTCACAACGGCAAAGGAGCAATTTATGCAAAGGAAAAAAGCTCAAGATAATAAACTGAATTCTAACACAAGTCAGGTTAAGATAATGGCAGCTCTTAAAACATCAAATAAAATGGCTACTTTTACAATTAAAATGATCTTCATTTAAAACCAAGTCCTGTGAGATAGAGACGGCAATAATTCCATGCAAAGGTGCTTGGCGTTACTAGGGAGTAGGAAAAAGGAGGGCCACAATAACACCCCACCTCCCAGAGTGCCTTAACACCGACTTGCCAAACACCCGTGAGGACGCAGAGCAACTGGACGTCTCACACGCGGCCTGCGGGAGTGCGAGCTGGCGCCCCCCCACAGATCACATGACCCAGTAATCACACTCCTAAGTTTTACCCCACAGAAGTGAAAACATGTCCATCCAAACACCTGTGCACTGATATTCAGAGCAGCTGTATCATGATCACCCCAAACAGGAAGGAGTCCAAGTCCAACCATGACCAGGTGAATGAAGAGAGCAGGTCCAGGCACTGGTAAGCTACGCGGCAATAAAAAAGCCACAAGGCAGAACAATCTAGAAAAGGTGACACTAAAGGGACAGAAGTCAGATTAGCAGCTGCCAGGAGCTGGAGGTGGACCGAGAAGGGAACTTACTGCAGAGGGGTGTGAAGAAACTCGGGGGATGCTGGAAATACTCTGTATTTTGTGGCAGTGTTTAAAAGATTAATTATCTATGCCATCAAAACTTGCTTTCAGAAAACATAAATTTGAGTCTATGTATGCCCGACTTTATAAAAAAAGTTCTTCAGCACCAAAAGCGTAGGACCCAAAGTAAAAAGAGAGAAACTGGAGCTTATCCCATCCAGAGCTTCTGTTCATCAAAGGACACGATTAACTGAATAAAAAGGCGACCCAGAGAATGAAAGAAAATGTTTGGAAATCATACATTGGATCAGGCCCCAAGATCCAGAATATATAAAGAGCCACAATCAACAACGACAGCAAGATGGCCCCCGGGGCCCAGTCTGATAAGGGGAAATCACTGCATCAGACTTTTCTCCAGAGAAGACACACAAACGGGCTTCAAGTGGGTGAAGAGATGTCCCACACCACTGATCGCTGAAGAAATGGAGCGCATGGTGAGTCACCCCCTCAGCCCATCAGGGTGGCCGCTATAAAGAAAAAGAAGATAGGCATTGCTGGGACCAGGGAGAAACTGAAGCCCTGGGCCCCGTGGTGGGACGGAAAACAGGCCAGTTGTCGTGAAGACAGGACGGAGGTCACCCGAAAACTAAAAAATAGGATTACCATGGATCCGCAGCCGGCTTTCATCAAAAGACCTGACAAGGTCAACTTGGAGGAGGGGAAGTTTACTGGGCTCACAGTTTCAGAGCTTCAGTCGGTGGCTGGCGGATTCCATGGCTCTGGGCCCGAGGAGGTAGCATCCCCTGGTAGAAGGGCGAGGCGGAGGAAAGCTGCTGAGCTCGGGCAGGCAGGCAGGAGGCCGAGAGGGAGGAGCCAGAACAAAACTCACCCCCTCCAAGGCATGCCCGCGTGACCTCCTTCTCCACCAGGCCCCACTGCCCACAGTTACCACCCCCCGTACGGTCATCCCTTCAAGTTATTAATCATTCACCAACTGGATTAACCCACCACCCAGGTTACAGCTCTTGTAATCTGATATTTCAGACCTTCATGAACACAGGAGTGTCCGGGGGACATCATAGCTATACCATAATACCAGTGATTTCGCATCTAGATAGGCATCCAAAAGAATTGAAAGTAGAGGGCTGGGACTGTGGCTCAGTGGTAGATCTGGGTCGATTCTCAGCACCACATAAAAATAAAGGCATTGTGTTGTGTCCATCTACAAAAAAGATTCATTCTCTCTCTCTCTCTCTCTCTCTCTCTCCTTAAAAAAAAAAAAAAAAAGAATTGAAAGTAGAGTCTCCAAGAGATATCTGTGCACTGATGTTCACACCAAACTGTGAGAGCAACCCAAGCTTCCACGGTCAGATGAATGGATGAACAAACATGTTCTGAACACAATGGAATATTACTCAGCCTTAAAAAGGAGAGAATTTGAGCATGTGCTACAACATGGATGAGTCTCAAAGACATTATGCTAAGTAAAATAAGCCAGTCACAAAAATATTGTACGATTCCACTTAGATGAAGTTCTTAGAGTCATCAAAATCGTAGAAAGAAAGAAGAATGGTGGCTGCTAGGGGCTGGGAGGGAGGAATGGGGTGCTGTTTAATGGTACAGAGTTGCCGTTTTGCAAGGTGGAAAGAGCTCTGGAGATTGACCACACAATGTGAGTGCCCCCAACGGCACCCGTCTGAACACTTTAAAAAGTATTACCATGGTCAATTTCATATTTCACTACATTTCTTGGACATTCCTCGGTTTAGAGAGCAGTAACATGTCTGAGTGGAGAAAGCACACGTGTCCAGGTCAGAAAGGCGTGGCCCTGCGCTCTCTAGCTGTGTGACCCTGGAAGTCCTTCTCCCTGTTCAAGCCTCAGCTTCTTGTGTAAAACTGAGGAGGAGGATGTTCAATAACAACTGTAAAGGCAGCCTGGGTCATGGGTGTGGAAAGGCTTGTCACTATTGGTCCAGCGTGTAACAGAGCAGCTGACATCCGCACCACCGCCTAGTGCTAACGGGATACTTAAGCTCAGCAGCCCCGCGGCTTGCCCAGCGCTCCCTCCTCCATCCCAGAAGCCTGTTCTTGTGCCACCTGTTTACAGGGCCTGGCGTGCCCCCTGCCCTTAGTTGACTCCAGTGCCCACATTTCACGTTCTCTCCCATAACCCGGAACCTTCTCTTTGACGCCCAACCCTACCTCTCTGAGCACCCATTCTTAGCAATACCCAATGAATGTTCAACTTGACCGATCCTTGGGGGCGCTCGGGGAGACGTCCTGGAAACTTTGGTCCTCGTGAGCCTGGCTGGCAGGAGGTGTGACGATGTCCCCCCACCTTACGCACTCACCTGATGAAGGTGGGGTACAGCTCCGTGTTGACCAGACAGATCATCTGCAGCACAATGGTGATCCCCATTCGGCCCAGGCAAGCCACCACGATATTCAGCCAGTGCTGGTCTGCAGAGACAGAGGGACACCAGGGTGGCGCTCTCTTGCCACAGAGGGAAGGCGTGGAGGGCTGGGCCGGACTACGAGGGCATCCTCTCTGACCCTTTCATTTTCAGACAAGTGCGCCGAGCTCGGGAGACTTCAGGACTTGACGGTGACGCCTCTGGGAAGACTCCATTCGTCCCCAGAGACAGGAATGAGTTTGGGGGCTCCGCTGTGCCTCCCGTCAGCAGGCTGACCTAGACAAGCTGTTGGCGTCCTTGGGGTGGATGCTAGCTGCACAGCTCACAGGTGGTTATGAGTCTTACAGGTAACGTGTCAAACTCCCCCTGTGACTGCGGAATTTAAAGGCTGAGGTTTGTTGATCCTAGAACAGCGCGGCTGCTAGCCATCCTGAAACATCCCAGCAGGTGAGTTAGCTCCCTCCAGGCTCAGCCCTGATGGAGTCCTCTATCTAGTGTTGCTTCCAACCTAAACAGCTTCCTGCCAGTCACAGGGAGGGTGATTAGGGAGTGAGCCCCAGACAGCTGCTGGAATCCCCATTCCCATTGGGGGTGACCACAGTAATGGGCGTCCCTAATCACCACTGACATTGTCACCGACATTGCCCCCACACCAGAGTACAAGTGGCCCTGAGAAATACTGGCTCATGACAAGTCCCCTGAGGTCACAGATATTGCACCACCCTGGCCCCTGGCCCCAGACACCGGTGACGTAGGGAAGGCTCGGTTGGTTTCACTCAGTTGGCGTGAGCTTCCCAAGGAGCGCGGAGGCTGCTCACTGCACACACAGCTCAGGGGCACTCTCGGGCCTCTGCTGCTCTGTGCCCCCGAGAAGCCAGGCTGAGCCTTGGGAAAGTCCACACCCGACCCAGCTTCTACAAAACAAGAGAAGAAGGAGATGGTCCCGGGGGGTCGGAGCCAGGGCATACACAGCATCGCTGCCCTCAGAGAACAGCTGTGTCCACTCTGCCCCGCTGGCCGGGGCCACATGTTACAGCAGTCAGAGGGATACGTTTACATTGAGGTCAGACTGAGCGACTCCCACCCAAAGCCACCAGTGCTTTCCTGCTGTGCTTGGGGAACCGTCCAGGGTTGCTGTCTCCCGGCTCACAGGGGACCTCATCTGATGCTTGCCACCCAATGCCAGTGCAGCCGAGCTCCAGGCTGAGCCCTCTCCTCCTGTCCCCTTTCCCGCTGCTCCCTGCCTGAATCTCTCTCCTGGTGGGTCTACATTTCTCTCCTCTCCGTGTGCACGGAGGAGCCGCAGGGCAGACAGGAAAGGCAGCTTCCTGCAACATGGCTGGGCCGCTCAGGAACAGGAGGACTGATCTGCGTCCACAGAGGCCAGGGCGGCAGGCGGGCGGGCGGGCAGGGCTGCACGGATCTGGTGTGACGGAGCGGGAAGGACAGCCGAGGTGCTGGGGGAGGGCGCTCAGCCCATGCCGCCTGGGTGTCCACAAGTCCAGGTTCACCAAACCACACAGTTATAAAGTGCTCGTTATGTATTAGTCAGACGCCCATTTAAATTGTCAAAGAGAGATGGTGAATGAAGGTGACACCCTTTGTTCTTGATACAGGGGCTTATCAACGCCCAGTTCCCTGGAAGACAACGAACACAGGCCACTCACCTTGTGAGATAAACAGCATGACCAAGCAGGCTGCCCCGGCCACCAGACTGGACAAGGCTAACGGGTAGATGCGGCCAGCACGGTCAATGGTGACGAGGATGATGAGAGCCGCAGGGAGTTCAACCAGCGCGGAGAAGAAGAAGTCTAGGTAGAGGTTCCTGCTGGTGGCCCCCATGTGCATGACCAGGCCCTGGTAGACCACAGCGCAGGAGAACCTGGGCGAGAGGAGAGCCCAGTCAAAGGCAAGCTCTGCAGGGGACCAGCAGCTCAGGGAGGGCGCCCCCACCCACTGGAGAGAATGTGTCACTGGCATAGAATGTTCTAGAGCAATGCAAAAAGAGGGCGATAGAAGGGCCCTTGAAGACAAATTCCTTTAATGATGTGAGAGGATGCCTTATGCTTAGGAGCTTTCGCTGTTACCATCGTCATCACCATGGTAACAAGGTCAAGGATCCTGGGCACAACAGAGCGGAGGTGCAGGCAGAGCCTCACCTGCACAGGGCGCTCCCTGAACCTCACAGCACCATCTTTAACGGGCACTGATCGTTGCCCCATGCCCCTGCAGGGCCCTCTATCTGTAGGTCACAGGACACAGACACAGATGGAGGGGCCTTCCCAAACTGCCCGCTCTCCAGTCCAGTCGGAGGGTGCTGTGTGTCACTGGGGGGATATCATTTTGGAAACTAGAGCCTCTTAGATCATATCTGTGTCTACATTGTTCAACGAGACTTTGCTCAATAAGAAATCCAGATCTTGTCCCAGCATGCAAATTGCCTGTGTGCCCCGAAACCGAGATGGCAACTGATGTTCCTAATTAATGTGCCCCCCTTGTTTTATAAAAGCCTCAGCCAGAGGATACTTGTGGGGCTTTTGTTTCTTGTCATTGCTGATTGGACAAAAGGGTCAAAAGGAAAACAAACAAACAAAAATAATGCACACACCTGTAGCTTAGTGAGTTTAGGGAACCGGAGCCACCCCCGCACCATTTGGCCAGTGAAGTGGAAACTGTCACACACTGCTGATGAGGAGATGGGCTCAAGAGAAAAGAGCCTACAACTTGAATTTGCCTGTCCACACACCAGGTGATAAATGAGCAGGGCTGCCACCTTCAGGCAGAACCCATGAATTGCATGTACGTATTAAAATAACAACAACAACAAAAAAAAAAAAAAAACCTGTGCTCACTGAGCATTTGCTGTATCTGTACCCCGCACTGTTCCAAGCGCTCTACACAGATCATCTCTTTAATTCCCCTATGAGCTAGATACTGTTATTGCTTCCATTGCTGATGAGGACACTTAGTCACAGAGAGACTGAGGCTCTTTCTAAAGGAAACACAGCCAGGAAGTGGTGGGCAGATTCCCAGTTTGCAGAATGAAGAGAAGCAGGTGGGGCATAGGAGGGACAGTGGGAGAAGGTGTCAGGGGCCAGATCACATAAAGCCTCACTTGCGGGTCGGAAAAAGAAACCTGGCTCTATTCTCAGTGGATCAGGAAGTCTGCAGAGAGTGCCGGCAGCCAGTATCGAGATTTGCCTGGATGGGGGTGGCCGTAACAGAGGCGTCAAATGCCACCTTGAGAGGTATGTGCTTGGGGTGCAGGGGAAACTGAGCAGTCCGGGTGAGTGAGCAATCACTCCTGTCTGCAGGCTGCCCACAGAGGGGCTGCAGAATCAGGCACCACGGAAACCCGCCAGCTACACGGGGCTCTGCAAGGGCTCACTCTGTGGTTGGGTGCAGGACCCCAGGGCAAACTCAGGGACAGGGCTGGTGAGTGCGAGGCAGGGGCAGGGCAGGGCGAGCCCAGTATCTAACACCCTGGGTGGATTCCGTGGAACAGCAGTTACTCATTCAACTTTCAGCAAATATTTACTGAGGGTCTACCATGCGCCAGGCACTGCCCTACTAGGTCGACTCCTTCTTCAAATGAAGCCTTAGGTGTTAGTGCCAGCAGCTGCTACTGGGAAGAGGACCTTCCCCCAGGGTCTGGCCGCTGAGGACCCTGTGTCAGAGAGCAACTTAAGAATCACTTTGTTCTGAGGGACGCCCATATGGAGGAGCCAATCCAACAGGCTGGGTCCCTTCCCATGCTAGCCACTGAGAGAGGAGCAGACCCCTGGCGTGGGCAAGGGGTACGCCGGGAGTGCACGGGAGTTCTAACCAATGGCTAATGAAGGCACAGAGAGACCCTCAAGAGGGTCCTTAGGTTTTTAGATGTGAGAAAAGAAAGGGGTCTCCCCTTTGAAGGGCTCAGCTTTCCTGATTGATGTCATCAATCCCTCCACCTTCCGACACGATGTCAAGACCTGCTGCTCCCCACCGAGTAGGCTTCGTAGAGTTGAGGCAGCTGCAGCTCCTCTCTGCCACTCCACGGCCCAGTAACTGTCCTTCCTGTCCAAACGGGCCTTCCCCATGACCCAGCTCCCAGGGAGATAAGGCCCCTCGGAGCTCTCTGACTGCTGACCACTGTTCTGAGATGGCCTCTCGCCCCGCTCTCTCTACACCTGAACCATGCTGGGGACTTTCTTTTGCACCCCGCGTTGGGGCAGCGCTGCAGGCCAGCCTGCGGGCAGCGGGGCAAGGCCTCACCATATGTACATCAGGATGCAGGTGTGCTTCCTCAGGTTGGGCGTGCGGAACAGGTCTATAATGGAAGGGCTCTGCTTTTCGGTGTCGTCCTCTTCCAGAGAGAGGATCTAGGAGGGAGAAGATCATCACCCACCCAAGCTGTGAGTGGGGTGGTCCCCGGGGGGCCACTGCCACTGATGGCTATCACACCCTGACCTCGAGCACAGCTCCACCACTTCCCCGGGCAGCCCCAGAGGCCCCAAGTCCGGGAAGTGAGAGCCCTTCCTGGTCCACCTGTAGGTCAGCAGGAGGCGATTTCCCATTCTTCCGGGCGATGTGGTTCATTATCTTTATTGCTTGAGTGTTTCTCTTCTGTGACAGCAGCCATCGGGGCGACTCCGGCACACACCTAGGGACACAGTGCATCACCAGGTGGCATTCCCCAGAACTCACCTGACAAAATGCTGAGGAGAGGGTGCAGTTGTCAGAGACACCCCCTCCCCAGGTTGGAACTGTGATTCCTCAAACTGCTTGTGGATGAGGCCCAGGGCGATTGTGTGCTGGCCCGTGTGGCCCTGGCATGAGCTCTGAGGGTCACTCAGACTCAGGTCACCTGCTAACATTCACAGAAAGAAGGGACCACAGCCCCCCATTAGTCTTCTTTCTGTGGAGCAGGGCCCCATGTCTCCAGGAGCAGGCCCCCTCCGTCCATCACCAAGCAATGCTTGGGGGCCAGCTTTCACCCGGAGAGGATGGGTCTACTCCAGGTCCACCCTCAGCAGAACTGTGGCAGAAGGTGCACAGATATTTCCCTCTGCTGTTTCCTCTTCCCTCCACGATGACGCTTATCTGTGGAGCTGGTTTTCCTGCCAGACCCTACAAGGTGCTCACGGCTCTTAAGAACAACACCTCATTTGGACTAGTTCTGTTTCGCAGTGACGCAGTGCACACGTTTCCCAGGGACACCCTACCCTGGGCAGCCTTTCAATCATTCATACATTCATTCATTCATAAATTGACTCAACCAAGATCAAATACCTACTATGTGGCTGGGTTAGAGGGGTGTCAGAGCCTTGTCAATGCCAGTATTACTTATAGACGGGGGGTCGGGGGGAGCTCCAAGGGTGCTCCACACCGGACCACGGGAGCCTCACAGGGCTGCAGGAGGCAGAGCCCTGGTGGTAAAATGACCCTGTTCCTTGGACTAGACACCATAGATGGATCATCTCCATCCAAGATTCCTCTGGGCTGTGGAGCGGCACCTGGAAACCTGCCCTCTCACCCAGCCATGAGAAGGGACCACTGAGGGCATCTCAGTGCGGGCAGCTGGGCTTCGTGTTTCTGGAAGGTGCTCATTGGAAGCCTCGGGCTGGGCAGGCAGCGCTGTGCTCCTGGACTTTAGTCTGACTGTGGCATCGCTCCCGTCTATGGGGGGGGGGGTGTGTGGATTTGGACTGGCTCTGTCTGAGGACAGCACCCAATGCCATCGGGGTCATCTGGCAACATCAGGACAGCCTGAGGGCAGAAATGGCCCATGGGCACAGTCTCCGGGAGCAGCTCTGCCTCACCCATATGGACACCATGGCCCCTTGGAAGGTGACCCGTGTGACAGAGCGGCCCTCCGTCCCACCGAGCCTGGCCCCGGAGCGACAGGACTTAGAGCAGGAAGCTGTGCAGACTTGCGGGGGACACATTACCAGTAGTAGAGCAGGAAGAAGAAGGTGGGCAGGGACACGGCCAGCTGGAGCCAGCGCCAGTGGGGAATGGCATAGGCCAGCCAAGAGAGCCCCAACAGCCCCACGGTGAAGGCCATCTGGTACAGGATCGCCACTGTCCTTCTGTAGCCTGAGCCGACACACTCTGTGACTGAAACAAAGAAAGTCACCGCTGGACCCCGGGGGAGGCAGGTCTGAGAGGTCCACTCCCACTGGCCTCTTCTCCCAAGCCCCAGCCTGGCCCAGCCTGCTCCCAGCTCCTCTCTGTGTGGCCCTCATTTGGTCCCCAAACCACACCTGCTTGCCCAGCTTCTCTGCCTACCTCCACCAACTGGCCCAGCCCAGACTCCCGGGCAGCCGGGTTGCCCTGTGCCCTCCGACTGCTCTTTCTCGGGCTCCTCCTTCCATGTTTCTCTCCTGGGCTTCAGACTCAGCCTCTCTTCCCCTAGAAGCTCTAGGCTGAGCTGGACATTCTTGGGGACCATCAGCTTTGCACAGCTAAGTGTCTACGGGGGATGGAGCTGTTCTCTCTGTTAGGATGCTCGAGGGCACGAGAGGTCTCCTGTTCTGGTGGCAGGCAACCCACGTGGTGTATATTTATATTAAATACTAGGTTGGAATGTGTCTGCACCGTGGGGGAACAAACAGCAAGAAGAAGGCAGATCAGGAACGTGGCGGGAGGGAGGCCATTTTACACAGGGCTGGTGGGACGGATGGACGGAATTGGAGCCGAGACACAGACGGGGTGGGAGAGGCAGCCACACAGATGACAGGGAGGCTCAGTCCAGTGGCAGGATGCCCACAGACTGGAGGGGAACTGTAAGGAGACTCTCGGGCTGCAGGGGTCAATCAGGAAAACAGGCGAATGGGGGCTGAGCCTGGGGGGAGGCGATTCTGGGAGGCCTGCGGGACATCACAGGAACGTTGCCTCTTACTGAGTGGAAGGGAAAGTCACCGTGGGAGAGCCACAAGCCACAGCCTGTCTCCAAAGGCTCACCCTGCAGCCCTGCTCACAGCTGGCCGTGGGTGCAGCCGGGAGGCCTGTTGGGAGATGGGGCAACGGTGGTGGCGTGGACCAGCAGAGGTCACGACGTGGGCAGGGTTCTGTGTGCATTTTGGAAATAAAGCCAATACGAGGTTCACTGGTGGACTGGAGGCGTGGGAGCTGAAAAGGGGATGTGGTGTTGACTGCGAGGTGTTCACTGGGCACAGCTGGGGGTCTGGGATGGAGGAGGACTACAGCCTGCTGCCTTGGGGTCCTGCCATGTTAATCAGGAGCCAAGAGAAGAGATGAGAAGGAGCCACCAGTAAGCAAGAGGACAGCCAGGTAGCGTGTGTCCTGAGCAACTGGAGAAGCGCATCGAGGGACAGAAGTCTCCGAGGGCTCTTGGCTAAATGCCCATTTTGGCACCTGCCCCTGGCCTTCCCATGAGCTCCCAAAGGAGGAGGACACCTTATCTATCTCAGCACCCCAGCCCCTACCATTGCCTGCCAAGCAGCACCAGTGACAATTAGAGAGGCGACGGCATAGCGGGCATTGGTCTGAGCCTACCCTACACCCAGGGCAAAGTACCGGCTCCTTACAGCAACCCCAGAAAAGAGGGCACCATCATATTCCCATTTTGAAGCTTCTGAGGCACAGAGAGATCATGGCCCTTGCCCCAGATCACACCGCTGCTCGGTGCTGGAGCATGGATCTACCCCAGCTGCTCCTCTCTCCATGCACCAAGCAGCGCCTGTGGAGCACACGGGACCTCAGCTGAACCACCAGACGTAACCAAGTGCTCGAGGTTCTCAAGGCAGGAACACGGTTTCTCCAGGCCCTCGTGAACTGCCCTCGGAAAGCCAAGCCATAGGACACCAGTTTTAGAGGAGCAGCCTGGCTGTTTTTTTTTTTTTTTTTCTTGAAAGAGCAGAAATATGGCTTAGCTTCCCTGGGCCGCTGGGCCCCATCCCTGGGCTCAGGAGAGTTCAGGTGACTCTTTTATTTGCTTTCCTCCAAGGAGGGAATTCCTGTTTTCTGTTCTGACCCCTCGTAGAATAAAGAAAAGCTCATGTGCAGACTGCTCCTGGGTTTTTAAAAACCCATGGTGTCTGTCTCCTCTGTCCTTTCCTGCTAGCTCTGGACTGTCATTTAAGCCATCTGAGTTCTATTTCTTTTAAGGAGTTGCTGGCTCTTTCATACTTAAAACACTCTCCCCCCCACCCACCGGCTTGGCTTCCTGCAGCCCCCCCCCACAGCCACAGAGGAGAAAAGGAGGCCACACCTACTCACGCCTGCCCGGGCACAGGACACACAATTAACTACTGCCCGGGCACAGGACACACAATTAACTACCACAATTCTCTACCCTGAAGACTCCCCTTCCCTCTGAACGCACCCCCCCCTGGCCCCCTTCCACCCACTGCCCCCTCCCTGGGCCCAGGGAGACCTCAGCCCTGGGTAATTACTCAGGGTGTAGCCAGACATCCAGGTGCCCTTGCTGACCATCCCCTGCAGCAGGCGAAAGAGCAGCATGGACGTGTAGTCTGGGGACACGGCTGTCAGCACACCGGACACGGCCATGACCAGCGAGGTCGCCAGGAGACACAGCTTACGGCCAAACCTGAAGAGACAAGAGGCGGGAGGAGGCTGAGGACCTGGGCCAGAGTCACCTCACCTGCCCACGGACACCCCTCCTGGGCCTGGCAGGCCGCGCCCACACAGCTCCCAGTTCTGCACCTCAGGTGGAACTCCTGCCTCACCACGAGCCCTGCCTCAGGAGTGTGCCTGGCCAGCATCCCTCTTCTCAAGATGACCCGTCCACCCAGGGGCTGTGACACACCTTGACTCACTCCCCTTTCCCTGGGCCCCTGCCCCACCTCTGATCTGTACCTGGCTTCACCTTCCTCCCCCAGGCAGCCTCACAGCAGCTGGAAACTGCCACCACGTCCCATCTCTGCCACCTTCTGCAACGGGCTCCAACTGGCCATGTCCTCCACCCCTGCCCCAACCCTCTCTTGGCGCGGTGGGGAAGTTGACAGGACCAGCCTTCACTCACCTGTCTGCGATGTAGCCGATGCCCAGGGACCCAAGGAAGAAGCCCAGGTTCACGCAGGACTGAAAGAGGTCCACCTTCCAGGCGTTGGCACACACCAGGTTAAACTGCCACCAGGGACCCAGAACAGAAGGGCACGTGAGCCAGAACCACACCTTCCACCCTCCCTCCAGACAAGGCCAGGCCCCTCGGAGAGCTTCAGGTTGTCCCTTGCACGGTTTCCTAAGACACAAGACAATGAGCATCAACACACTCCTCTAACACCCTCAAAGTGACATTCGCTAAAGCAGCTGTGGTCCTGTGCTTTGTCCTTCATAGTCGACTGTCAAAGGACAAAATGACTTTGGAAAAGGAGCAAGAACAGGTAGACCTCAGAGGAGACGTGGCTGCCAGGTCAGTTCTCTAGAAAAAAGTAGAGCCTCGTGCTTTCCCAAAAATAAATGTAGCAGAAGAAACATAGGATGTTTTCCAGAGTTAGTTGAGGATCCTCCATGTGTTTAATTGGATAAATTCCACCAGTGACAGTGGACATTCTGTCACAACTGAGTGGCACCTGAGGAGGGCAGAGGCAGGGGTGAGACATTCTGGCGTCTAGGGGCGGCGGCCAGCACTGTAGTCTCATGGGGTGACATCTGACAGGTAGGAGGAGACTCAGAGGGCCCCACGTGACGCAAGCCATAGAAGAGTGGACTCCAGGGAGACCAGAGGCAGGGAGGCAGGAGCTGGGCTTTCTGCCCCCTCCTGCTGCCCTTCCTGGGCTTCCTGCCCTCCTGTCCCTCCTGTCCCCCTCTCTCCTTGCTTCCGATTCATGGCTCCATCAAACAAGCAGCACTGCGGAGCGTGATGGCAGTAAGCCACCTGGCGACTTGGAGCCCCAGTCCCCAACTGAAACAGGCATGTGGACCTGTCCTGCCTCACCCTGTGAGCTCAAGGGCTTTGTCTGATTTTAAAAAGTGTTTTATTATCCCTCCCCACATGTCCAAAGTTGTCCCAGGGTCAGACATTCAGAGTCTCAGGCGGAACTCAGCCGGCCGGGTGTCATCGGCGGATGCGTTCCTCGGCGTGAGCGACGTGTTTTCTGCAATGGAGTGAACACTCTGCATTATGCGGACTTTCAGGAACAAACATAAGCCTTGCCATCATCCGTCCTGTCCCATGGAGTGACAAGCTCAGCGTCACTCATTCTCTCCACCAATCCCAAGGTTCATTTCCTTTGAAATGTGACTGGAAGCACACCTTCCGGTGGAGCCTCTCCCAGGTGGCCCTCCCAGGCTGCCATTCTGCAGCCGTGGACCCACAGGTTTTCCTGCGCCCTGGGCTCGGGCGTTGGAACACAGGAGGAGAGCTCATCCTGGGTTATCTGGCTGTCCCAGGGTGTGGCTCCAGCTGCCAGGGTCTGCTTGAACGTCCCCCATATCAAGAGGGACAGTGCTCTACAGCACTGAAGTCACGGGGTGGAAAGGGACGTGGAACTGTGACCCCTGGCCTCACTCATCCCTTCCTGGCCGCTGCTCTGGTTTCATTCCATCTTTGCAAGTCTGTGCCTCTGTCAGTTGCCCCGTCCCCCTCCTGACAGGCTGTGGTGGCCACCTTGCCCGGGCTTCATGCACAGCCAGACCCTCCCTGGGGCTGGAGGAAGCCGGTCTCTTTCAGCCTCACTTCCAACCCCACTGCCCGCAAGGGTGGACACTGCCAAGCTGTGGGGATCAGTTCCTAGAGCCACCACACGCAGGCTCATGTGTGCACCCTGGGGACACAGGCCTGGCCCCACAGAGAGGCCGGTTGGCACAAAAGAGGGCCAGAGGAGGTGTCCTAGGCCCATCCACTGGGCCCTTTCCAGCACAGTAGAGGAAACAACAGGGATTGTTCTCCATTGCCTCACCACAAGAACCACCCAGGGTCCCCGTTAAAATCCCTATTCTCCGTGGTCACAAGTGGGAATGCAGGTGGCCACGCAGGACTAGGCAGGCTTGGGACGCAGCGGCCTGACCACCTCCCCCCACCTCTGCCCGGGGAATGGCCCCTCTCACTCTGTGCTCAGGCCTAGAGGAAGCAGTGGCCGCCTGGGCTGGTGTGGGGCTACGGCTGAAGCCAGGGCAGGCAGAGCAGACCCTCCTGATGGGGAGTCAAGAGCCAGGGACATCACATCCCTTCCCCAGGAGCCTAGTCCCCAAGCCTTGGAGAGGGAGTTGAACCTGGTGTTCAAACCGGGTCGTTCATCTTCCTCCTCCAGCAGTTCCAAGGTCCAAGGCAACCCTCGGTTAAAAATTAGTTCTACAGAAACGGATAACTACAGTCAATCCTCAAGAATAGTCCCCAGTTCAGGATAGGGAGGGAGGGGAGGGCAGCCTGAGAGCCGCTGAGGGGAGAATTAAAATGGGGCCCGTTTCCTCTGCCTCCTGCCTGATGTGCCCCACGCTGCTCTTCCTTCTGCGCGAGTCCCAGCACCCGCAGACTCAGTCCAGCACCGTGGACACTCCTCCTGAAAGCGGCTCACCCTCACTGTCCCTGCTGGTCACAGTCCCAGGACTCTCAAAGTCCTCACCAGAGCTCTCGCTTTGGGGCTCATTTGGAGCCCCTCTTCACTACACAGAGCCAATCGCTTCTGTGAACCTCTTCTGGCCTCCTGCCTCTGGCCCCTCCTCCCCGTTTCTGCAGCTCCTGGTCCTCAGCCCAGGGCTCAGTGGCTCCCTTTGCCTGCTCCCCTCAGGCCAGAACCCACAGCCCCCTCCTTCTCCCTGACCCGCAGCGACTTCCATACCCTTCCAGCACGGTGGCATTTCATCGCCATGACAACCATGTGGATTGACATTTCTCATCTGGGCTCTTTTCTTGGCCTCTTCCTGCATCTCCCTATTTCAGAAGACTCCGATCCCACCACCAACCTGCTTCCAGCCCATTCACTGGGTCTAGTTAGGATTGTCTTGCTCCTTTGCCTAAATAAGACCAAACCCCTTCATTTAGCCTTAAGGTAGGTTTGCCAGATGTAGCGAATAAAAATACAGAGTGCCCTGTTAAATCTGAATTTCAGATAAGCAATAATCTTTTTAGCATAAATACATTCCATGAAATATCTGTATTCCCAAACCCAGTTATCAATATAAAATATTGTGCAATATCCAAAATATAACTATCCTAAAAAACAAAATGGCATTATCTAGCCAGGTCCAGTGTCACGTGCCTGCAGTCCCAGCTCCTCAGTAGCCTGAGGCAGGAGGATCACTTGAATCCAGGACTTTGAGACCAGTTTGGGCAGCATAGCAAGAACCCAACTCAAAAATTCTAAAAATTCTATTATTTGAAATTCAAATTTAACAGGGTACCCTATATTTTATCTGGTAACCCTGAAGACTCCATAACTCCCCGAGGTGGCACAAGTTTGCTGACTCTTGAACTTGACTCAGCTGTTCCCTGGGCCTGGGATTTACTAACTGCCCTTGCCTACCCCCTCCACCACCACCGGCTCCCCTTGCTGGCCAAATCACCCTGAGGCTCAGCTCAGATGAGCGGCTGTGAGCAGCCGGCCTGAGCGCTCTCCTCCTCAGAGCCCTGGCCCCTCTGCCCTGCGCACAGCACCTCCCAGGCCCCACTGAGACTGTCACTAGCGGACCCACACCCTCCCTGAGACTGCAGACTCTATGAGGGAACTTCACACAACTCCTCTGTCCCCTTGCAGGGTCACCACCAGTGCTAGGACAGAGGGAGAGCTCAGAACATGTTCATTGGAGATGGACAGATGGACGAGTGCCTGGGCAGTGTCTGCACGGAGTCCTTTCCTGCACAGTGTGTCTTGGCCCAGAGAACAGCAGGTTCCCGTTTGGGTCCCACAGGGTGGAGCACCCCTGGCAGGTGACCCAGGCAACTTAGCCACCACGGGAGGATGTCCACTCAACAGCATGTAAGGCAGTTGCCCCAGCACCTGCTCTCCCCAGGTGAGCAGGCTGAGTGTTGATCATGTCAGGGGAGGGGACACTGGCCTTTCTGCCAGGAAGAGCCCTAAACATGTTGGCACTGAAGCCACCGAGGAAAGGGGTGAAAGGAAGGAGACTGAGAAGCCCTGAGCAGGCCGGAGGGGCGATGGACAGTGGGGGGCGGGCGTGGAAGGGTGTCCTCCTGTTCTGGATGTATGATGTCCTCACCAAAGCCAAGCCATGGCTAACAGCCTCTGAATGGGTCTAGGCCTATGGCTTCTCCAGTTGGCCAAGTGCCCACAAAAGGTCCATAAAGGGAGAAAATATCGTGTCACTTTTTACTAAAAACTTCTCAAAGCAAATGCTCAAAGAACCAATTAAATCATCTAAGCAAGGCCCCTTGGACACCACTGCCCTGCCCCACAGGACACAAGCAGGACCACACAGCATAATGCCTTAATCACGGTTGTCAGCTGAATCCCAGAACACTGTGTGGCAAGGTCTTATGATCCCAGTTCAATGATGAAGACTCAGAGAGGCTGAGTAACTTACCCAGTGATGCTCAGCTAGTAAGGAGCATGTCTGGGATCAACCAAAGTCAAGGCGACTCCACACCACCTCAGTGACCGTCATTTAGGTCACCTGTCACCACTTGGGGGGGGGGGAGTTTCATAATACCAACCATGGGGAAGCACAGACATGAAGTTGTAGGCTCTGGGAAAAGCCAGTGGGGCAGGAGTAGAGAAGCCCTCAGACTCCCTGTAAATCCCAACAATGCAGCACATCTGCGTGCTGTCCTCCCAGAGGCCCAGCCTCCTCCTACACCCAGAGTTTGTGACAAAGAATGCAGAAGGCCAGGACACAGCCCAACACCTCGACCTGCACACAGACCAGGACCCTGTCCTCTTGTCTGTTGAGAAACTGAGCCAGACGGGCTTGCTGTACATCTCCTGCCTGTCCCTGAAGTCTCCACATTACCCTGAATACAGAACCTCTGCCTACCTCAGTGACGATGGAGGAGCCAGGAGTGTCGTACACCCAGCCATGCTGACAGGGGACAAGTGGCAGGTGGCTCCTGTTGGCAGCCAGGCTGGCCAGAGGGTCCACGCAGCCGAGGGTGCTCTGATTCCAATCCACCTCATACTGCATGCACTGGCGGAGGAAGGCCTCATCCGCAGCCCCCAGACCTGGCACGGTATAGTTTAGCTCCTCCGCTGGGCTCCAGCCGCATCGCTGGCTCAGCTCAGACACCCCGGGGCTCCGGCAGTGGTGGGGGGGGCTGAAGCCCAAGAAGACGATGCCCAGGTAGGTGGGGGCTAAGGCCGCCGAGGTGAGGCATAGTGTGAGGAAGACTCGCTTCTGGTACCAGCCAAACTCCCCAACCTGCTCTAAGACATCGTCCACGGTGGGCATGGCTTGGCCAGACCTGCTCCCGTCTGCAGTGGCCGCATTCAGTGTCTCTTAAAGTTCTTTGAAATGGGAGGTTTTAAATCCAGTTTCTGCCCAGGCATGATACATCTGGAAAGCCACCAACTAGCAACGACCTTTTACCCCCGGGCTGGTATGAGGGCAAGGGAAGAAAGCACGCAACGGCCACTCTCGGCCACTGTTTGCTCTGCTGGGAAACCAGTCAGCTCAGCACAGGCCCCGAGGGCACCGGAGTCCACCCAGAGCAGGAGGAGGGGCAGGCCGCAGGCCAGGAGCCCTCCTCCCCCAGGCCCCTCCAATGAGATTATCTATTAAAGAAATTCCTATAACCTGATAAGCCCTGGTGACGAGCTGCCTGCCCTTTCATCTCAGCCTGCAGGCCTAACGGGGGCCACAGGCCTGCACAGCCTCCTTCCCAGCCACCTCCGTAGAGCCTGCCCCACACACAGGTGCAGGCCCTCAGGCCTCTGCTCTGTTGGGCTCAGGGGATTTAGGACCAGAAACTCAGGGAAAAGGGGGTAATGAAGAACCACAGGCCACTCGGTGACCATCCAGGTCAGAAACACCAGCCTCAGGCCAAGACGAATGCCGATACACTCCTTCTCGTGACAGCCTTGGGGTCGGTGCCATTGCCGGGCCCTCCCCACACCTGGAGAGCAAGGCAGGGGGACTCAAGAGCGCCGTCAGAGTTCTCAGTGGAGATCCGGGCTTTGCGGTCCAGCGCTGCCCTGAGGACCTGTCACCAGCTGTTTGTTGGGTCCTGGGTTCATCCCACAACCCTAACCCTAACCCTAACCCTACCCCTAACATCATAGCATTTCCAATGCTATGATAGGCCATGGACCTCGGAGCTGGGACAGTTCCCAACTCTAAGCAGCTCACAATCTGTTGGGGAGACAGACCTGTAAAGGAACAATCACCAGAGCAGTGACCACAGCCAGCAGGGCCAGGGAGCTCCCTAACACTGCCCCTTTGCCCACATGGACCTTACCAGTTAGCAGACTGAGCAAGGGGAGAAGAAGGGAGTCAGGCAGGGTGTGCCAGGCCCCTGCCAGGTGGCCCCAGACCCCGCCTCCCAGTGCTCACATCTTGAGTGTGCAGAACCTTTTCCACCAGATGAAAATAGCAAATGTCATGGTGACACCTCTGTGATTATGTCACATAAGGTTGCAGCATCCAGCCATCCCCGGTGGCACATGAACACCTGTAATCCCAGCTATTCAGGAGGCTGAGACAGGAGGATCAAAAGTTCGAGTCCAGCCTGAGCAACATATGGAAACCTTACCTCAAATAAAAACCAAGGAGGGGTGTGGCTTAGTGGCGGAGCACCCCTGGGTCAATCCCCAGTAACGCACACACAGACACACACACACACACACGCACACACACACACACACACACAGGTTGCAATTGCATCTTCTGCAGCCTCTCTCCCCTTGGCTTGAGGAAGCAAGTGGCCCTGGCAAGGTCCTGAGGCACCCGGGCTGATAACCAGCGAGAAACCAAGACCCCGAGTCCTGTGATAATCACGTAGGCTGGGCAGTGCGTCTTCTCCAGGCAAGCCTTTGTGATGAGGCCACAGCCCTGGCTGGACCCTGGCTGCAGGGTGCAGCTGCCGGGTGGCCATGCTCTCCACCCACAGAAGCTGGCCCATGGCTGGCACTGAGAGCAGGTGGTTACACAGTGACAGACCGGCAGACCCTGGGTCCTGGGCACAGGTGCAGCCTGGAGGGGTGGGCTTGGCTGGGCTCCAGCTGTGCTGGTGCCACCGCCCTGTCTGCAGAGTCCACGCTGTGTACTTACGCTCCACGTGCCCAGGCTTGTTTCCGAGGCCAGGGCCTCCACGGCAGGGCAGGGCTGGAGGCTGGCATGGACCAACCGACCCTCTGCTCTTTGGCCTGCTGGGGGTATATAGGCAGCCTCACTGGCTGGCCACCTCCAGCCAGGGTTCCAGCCCGGGCCGCCTGCTCTGCTCCAGGGAAATGCAGAGCACGCGTCTGTTGACCGCGGGACAGAACAGAACCAGGCGGTCGAGTCCCCTGGCCTCCATCCTGGAATCCCCCCATCCCAGCTCATCAGTGCTCCCTGCCTTGGATGTGGGGGGCCGACTGGGTCCTGAGGCCCCTCCACACTCCACACAGAGAAACCTGGTGGTCTCCACCAGACCTTTGCCTTCTGGAGCCCACGTGGGGCCTCAGCAGATGCCGCTGCCTCCCCAGGGCAGGCTCCTGGGAGCCCGGTTTGTGAAACAGCCTGGGTTCCCAGAGAGACTAGGTTAGGGCCAGCTCTGCACTGGGCTTTGGCCTGCCCTTGCTGGTGAGAGGTGATCTGCACCACCAGGCAGAGAACACGCCCTCCCCCTTCAGTCCTGGAGGCACCTGACATGGGCGAGGGTCCAGGTCCCTCATGTGACACAGGAGCCACTGGGAGTGCCTTTCTCTTGTCTCTTTGCTCCATGGGCACCTCAAGCCCAGGGATCCACACTGGCTTGGTCAGAAGCGTGGCATGGGCGGCAGCTCTGAAACCCCCCTCCCTGGGAGTCTTCTTCCTTGGAAGTGTCACCCTGTGGGCTGCTGCTGGGAGGGAGGAGGCACAGGCAAAGCCCTCCACAGAGACAGGCCGGGAATGCACACAGAGCTGGAGGCTCGCCCCCTCTGCCAAGCCCGAAGTGCCCACTCCCCTTAGAGGGGTGCCGGTGTGTGCTTGGGAAGCAGCCAGGCTGCAGGTCCCACTTTCAACCTACGGGGGAGGAACCCGGCCGCCCCGGCCCCAGCCCCACGGGCCAGGCCTGACGCCACTGCTCCCTCACTCCCTGGGGAAGGTAGCGGCCCAGCTCCGGGGCCTGTGTCATGATTCTGTCAGCTCCTGCTGAATACACCACCCCGGACACGCCACTTGGGCCTACTTTGGGATTACTTTGACCTGAAGGCCATTAAGAGTGATGTAAGGAACGCTCTCTGGCCTCCTCTTCCTCGTTGGCCCACAGGTAGGGCTCACGTTCTCCTCTCTTCTCCTTCTGTGGAAGGAGCTGCTCCTCCCGCCAGCTCAGTGGGCTCAGACCCTTAGCTTTTGCTGGTCCCTGCAGGGTTCTCCCTTTTCCTGTCCAGGTCCACAGAAGGAGGGCTAGGCACCCCTGGCAAGTGACACTTCAAGGGAGATGAGTGGCGGGGGCTGTGGCCACCGAGAACTCACCGTTCCTGTGAGCATGCTGCCCCACGAGGGACAGAGAAGCAGTGAGTGGGCATGGCAGGGGCAGCCTGGACCAAGGGCCGCTGTGCTACACACGAGAAGCCGTGGCCAGGAGAGCAGATGCTGTGCTTTGGTGGTGGGTGGCCCCTGCCAAGACACATGCTGAAATCCCACACTAGAACAACGGTATGGAGAGGTGGCGGGGACGTTAAGAGGTACTTGGGTCATGGGGTTCCACCCTCACGAAGGGATTAACGTAGGTGCCTGGAGAACAGGTTAGTTACTGCAAGAGCATGTTGTTAGGTAGTGTCCAGCCCACTTTGTCCCCTCTTCTCCACATGTCCCCAATTATACTTTTGATGTCTGACCTGAGATACCACCAGGCCATCACCAGCACCATGCTCTTAGGCTCCCCAGCCTTCAGAACCATGAACCAAAATAAACCTCTTTTCTTTATAAATTACCCAATCTCAGATATTTTGTTGTAACAACCCAGAACAGACCAAGACAGCAGGTCACCTGCCCCATGTCATGTGGCAGGCTCAGGCCAAGTCTCAGTAATCAATTCACTCAAAGCCCGGTCACTTGGAAAGAGAGGAGGAAGCCAGGTCCAAGGGCAAGCCCAGATCTGGTGGGGGGTGGCGGGGAGGCATGGGCCTCCTAGGCCACTCTAGGTGTTGCCTGGAATCCAGGGGGCCTTCCGGTGAAGTGGCCATCTGCACAAGGGGGCTGACCAGTCTCTGCCTGAAGGAGTGTTGCCGGGTGCCAGGAAACAGACAAGCTGGGAAGTCAGCCATGACTCAGCAAGTTGGTCCCGGGAATTGGGCCCGCTGCCCACCCAGCAATCCTGAGGGTGAGGGGGCAGCTGCCAGGGAACCGCCATGGTGGGCACATCCTTAAACCCCAGCACCTTCTAACACAGCATCTTCACCTCCAGCTCATCAGGGGACCCTTGTCACATGCTGCTGAGAAGCTGGGGTCTCAGCCAGGGCCTCAAAGGCCCTGCCTCTCCCCAGCACACCTGTCCGCTCCCAGCTGCTCCAGGTCTGAGGCCTCAGTTTCCCCACTCCAATCCTGACAGTGACCCAGGCCTCCTTGTCCTGCAGGCCACTGCTGCCAGACTGCAGTCGTAAGTTGAGACAATTGGCGACCTCAGGTCTGAGTCTGTCTTGCGCTCCCAGGACACTCCTGTCCCCACTTGCTGAGCACACAGGTGATCCAGAGCCACGCGTTAAATCCCCGCTCCCCTCTCCGAGGCCCTCTGGCCACATCTCCAACACTCTGAGGCTGCGTATTCACATAGTTCATTGCTGGGTGGGGGTCCCAGAGAATAGTTCCAGAACCAAGAGAGTAAATGTCTGTGGGGTAAGCCACCCAGCCGATGGCCTTGAGCTACTGCAGCCCAGACAGACTAACACGGGCACAATAGGGGATCCAAACGCCAGTCACAAGGAGTTACATGGTACCCACGGCCTCAGTCCCCTGGAGAGCACATGTGACCCTGTATCATGAGTCTGTCAGCTCCTGCTGAATATGCCACCCTAAGACACGTCACTTGGGCCTAAGGATTACTTTGACCTGAAAGCCATTAAGAAGTAGATGTGAGGAACGCTCTCTGGCCTCCTCTTCCTCATTGGCCTTCAAGTAGGTCATACATTTTCAAAGTTGTCCTTCTTCCTCTCTTCCCTAAGGTGGATAAAGGTTGACCACTAGAGACCACCCTCTTCATCTTGGTGAGGGCACCAGAGGTGTCTACACAGCACACGTGACTAACTAGCCTTCATCTGCCGTGAGTT